CCGGGAACGCGTGCAAGAGTGGGTGGGGCTTCTCACAAAGGTGGGGATGTAAAGAAAGAAGCGCTGCGGAGGCTACATGCATGGACTTTCATTCGTATACGCAGCGCACTATACTCCCACTTGCGATCGTACACGTCCCGGCAGCTGCGACTCCTTCAGAACCAAAAGCTGATACATGAAAAGAGAGGAAGGGCGATTTTAAATCTTCTACCCCGCTCACAGAAACGAAAAACCGGGAATAACAAAGGAGGATATATATATATATATATATATGAGTGCAGAAACGGATGTTTTTTTTTTCTTTGGCAGCGCTTATTTCGTTTTCCGTTTTTTTTTATTGCTTTTACTTTGCCCGCTTCCTTCCACTGGTTTCTCCATCCTGATGGTTGTGTTATTTCTTTCTCCTCTGCGTCTCCCGCTCTGTGCGCGTAATGTTTTGTATTGCGGAATTGCTTCTTTTACTTCAGAATACCTCGTGTCTCTTTCGGGACATCTTTCACGTTTCTTACACCCTTCATCCCTCCCTTCTGTTTATCCTTTATCCCATCCCTCTTCCTTCCCTTTTCTCCATGTGAAAGAAAAAAAAAACGTGGGGAAGAGTGAAAGAAAGTGGCTGTCTGTGCGTGCGTGCTTCGAGGCAGTTTTTTGTTTTTTTTACCTCACATAAACGTAAATGTGTGCATGCATACTTGGTTTGTATGTGCGTGTGCCGTGAGGTGAGAATGGCAAGCATGACAAGTGTGAAGGAAAGAAGAGCACGAGAGGGTGGAGCGAGAGACACAGGGGAAGTCAGACAACGACTAAATATTTACACATGTATGTGGGACGTTGAAGGAAGCTATGTCAGGTGGAAGAGATGCAGTGCGAAGAGAAGGAAATGGAACAACAAAAGTGCTAGGAAAGGAAAGGAAAGGAAGAGGAAAATATAGCACACTAACGATAATAATGCTGTGAAAAAAAAATGAAAAAAAAATGAGGCAGAAAGGAAGAACGACATGTATACATTTATAACATTATATAACGGCAAACACAACTGGATTGGGGATCTCTCAGACCGACGGGTGCTCTTCTGGACTCACCATCTCCCTCTCCCTTCTTTGGCTCCCCCTCTCCCCTCCTCTTCACTTTCCCTTGTGTCTGATCCCACTTGTGTGCATGCATGGAGGGATGAAAAAAGTATTTATTTATGCACACATGTGTGTCTCACTTGTAGGCTTTATAAAACACAAAACAGAAGATCGACTGAAACATGTCGTAAAAGGTGAGAACGAGAGGGTAACTTGACAGAAAGAGGAGGAATGACTAATAAACACTAAACAATTATGAAACAGGGGACGCGGAAGGAAGGATGAAAGGGGAAACTGAAAAAAAACAAAAACGGGCACAAGGTTACGACGTGTATATGTGCCTGCGTCGATATATGTTTTTTCTCTTCTTTCTCCTGTGCTTTTTTCTCTGCAGGTGTATATGCGTGTGTGTTTGTTTGTGCGAAGAGAGGGAGAGAGGTTTGCGGGGTGGTTGGGACCCTTAATGAGGGCGGAGGAAAAGAGCAACGTGTTTGAGAAGTAAAACCCGAAGAAAGAAAAAAAAATATAAATAAAGTAAAAATTAAAATAAAAATTAATTGAGATTTTGGTCTGTGTTCGACGGTTTCTGCGTGGTGTACACTGAGAGAACCGAGAACCCACTCCAAAAGAAAAAAAAAAAGAAGGGCATGCATAATACAGACCAATCCCAATAAAAAAAAAAAAGGAAAACTTTGTGTTCCCTTTAAGTGAAGGCTCTCCATGCTCTCTAAGCAGGCAATGACGCACACACTGTGTGTGCGTATTTACCCTTTGGCCATGCTGGTCTCGCTGATGAGACCACTGCCGTCAATGTTATGCGCGGGTTTTGATGCATTGTTTGGTCTTTTTTTTTCTTTTTATTGTTCTTGACTTTGCTATCGGATGATTCGTATACCGCGTGTCTACCTGTAGAAGGAGTGGTGCTTACTCTTCCTTCCGGAGGCAAAGATAAAAAAGGGTGATTTTGTCTCTGCGTCCGGAACCCACACTGAAGGTGAGTGAGTAGGTTTTGTGAGGTTTATTGGGCGGAACATAAGTAGTGGTATTACAACGGGGAACAAACTGCGTGGCGGGCGCCCTCAATAGATTTAACTGAAGTTGGAGAAGAAGGTTGGCGATGATGTTTATGGTTCTGCGTTGCTTTTTCACATCCATTATGTTTAATATGGGTATGGTCTACGCCGTCTTTCTTTCGCTGCGGGTGCCCAGTGGTGTAGTGGCAGAGAAGGAATGCACCAATGAACTGCAGGACAAGGCCAGTATTTCACCCTATGCACTGAAACTATGGATTATGATCACATTTTTTGCGTCCTTCTCATATCTGGGCGCAGATAACCTTCCTCTGTTTCTGGAGGCCCGTGTTATTTCCATATGGATTCTTCTTCTCTTGCCGCCCGTATCGCAGAGTAAAGTGTATGACAGTGCGTTTGAACCTGTTTTAGAAAATACATGGAAATACATCATGGAGTTTGAGGGCAAACGGGCGTTTGCACGCAGCGCTGCAATATTAGCGTTACGTGGGTGCATATGGATGGGAGTTTGCATTGCGAGGGTCATTATGCGCTACTGGGATATGGAAGGGGATGCCATCCTTCACGTCCTGGAGAGTTTGCAACACGCTTCTCGATGCCTGCAGGACACGGCGGTGAGACGACCAGAAACTCTTACTTTCTCCGATTCTTCATCCCTTGTTCTTCTGGGACCGACGTCGTTATAATATATGCACGTATGCATACCTTTTGTGGTTTAGTCTTTGTTGGAAGACTGGAGTGGTGGAAAGCAAATGATTGGAAGGTGTGTGCATGTGTGTGTGTTCATCCCTTTATTTTGTGTCTCGATCTGTTTACATGCAACGGGAAGACATTTTTTTGTTGTAGTTTCATTACTTTGAGAAGAACTTCGTTGCATTTATTGTTTTTGTGGCTATTTTTAATGTCTGCTTGTTTTTGGGTTATTCCTTCGTTTTGACTTGCTTTTTGCCATCCTGCGGAGAACTTCTTCGTGAACTCGTCTCTCAGTGTACCTCGTTTCCTTTATTACTCCCCCCACCCCATTCCCCGCGTTACTGTTGTGACCTCCTCGAGGAAGCGGCCGCAGTGGTGTGGTTAAGGGTGTTTCCCTGTGGGGTTTCGGAACAAGTGGCACGACCAGTCGTCGCACGACTGTACGCAACGAACCAAGCGGCGCTGATCACTAAAGAGGGTGAGAGGGAGAGCGGGTGCGAGAGCTGTAGAGGGGGAGCGGTAGTAGAACGAGAAAAGTAACGCAACGCAAAGTAGATCTGTAAAAAATTAAAAATGAATCGTCACAAGAAGTTTTACTCCACGCTTAGGGATAAAATGTGCGGCGATGATTACGATGACTATTACGAGGAGGAAGAAGACAACTTCTACGACGAGGAGGACCTGCAATATATTGTGCAGGCGGGCGCCATCCCGGCACAACCTGTAAAAGTGTCTGCCACTGCGGGGTGCAGTGCTACTCAGGGGGCGTCATCAAAAGAAGTGGAGTTGACTTCGGGTAAGGACTACAATCTGTGCCCTGACGATTTGGACTACTCGCTCATCATTACGTTGCTTACAGAGTTCAAGAGAAAGTGGGGAGAATGCGCCTCGGTGCAGGCGCTTAAACTGGATCCCGCTTTGTGCGACATTGTCGACGCTTTTCGTGAACACAATTATGACGTTGACGAGGCTGTTGCATATATGGTGAGTAAGCTGACGGAGGAGCAGTCGAGGGTGGGGACGCAAAACCTGCCGCAATTGTCCTCACCTTTGCCTCACCCCGTAAATGTCGGGGTTCCTGCTTCGACGACGACGTCGACATCGACGGCTGGGCTGAAACCAGGCGGGCGCACCCTAAAACTTGGGAAAGGCAGCAAAAGTACAGACAAACCGACGATCAATGCATCTGAGGGGGTCACAAAGACGATGTCAACAATGGCGAGTGGTGCACATCGTACCGGTGGCATCTCAAAACTTAAAAAAAATAAGGTACAGGAGATCATGCCGGACCCAAACAAAAGAGATTGTACGTTTGTCATTGCAGGTCATGTGGATGCTGGAAAGAGTACAACGTTGGGGCATCTACTTCTTTTGCTGGGGAGAGTGTCACAGTCAGATGTAGACAGGAATGAGAGGAGTGCTCGTCAACTGAATAAGGAATCCTTTAAATATGCCTGGTTGCTCGATCAATCCGAAGAAGAGCGTAGACGTGGTGTTACAATTGATTCTGGATCTTATTGCTTTGAAACAGAGCATCGTCGGATTAATATTTTGGATGCCCCAGGTCACAAGGATTATGTTCTCAGTATGATTAGTAGCGCTACACAGGCGGATGCGGCACTTCTCGTTGTAACGGTTGCCCCCTCTGAATTTGAGGTTGGTTTGTCCCATGGAACAAAAGAACATCTTTTTATTTTAAAGACGCTGAGTGTTGGTCGATTGATTGTTGCTGTGAATAAGATGGATGCTGTGGACTATAGTAAAGACCGATATGACCACGTCGTATTGGAGTTGAAGCGTTTGCTGAAGCAGATACGCTTCAAAGAGGAGGCTATTGTTGGGTTTTGTCCTGTGAGTGGGATGCGGGGGACTAACCTTCTCACTGTGGATCACGCGGCAACCCCGTGGTACAAAGGGCCATCCTTGGTGCAGTTATTTGATCAATGCCCACTAGAAAACAGATTGTTGGATGCCCCCTTACGACTGAGCCTGCAAGACGTGCAAGGAGCACGACTCTTTTGTAAAGTGGAGAGTGGACGACTTTCAAAGGCGTCCAAGGTTCTTTTATTGCCAGCAGACGTCACGGTACACGTAAAAACTATAGTAAGGCCTACGACAGGTGAATTAGTAACTGCCGCTTTCGCGGGTGATGCGGTGGAACTTGACACAGACTCCTCACTTGTGGGGTTATTCCCTGGCTGTGTTGGTTGCCTCCCCACTGCCTCTATTCGCTGCTCTACAGACTTTGAGGCTCGGGTGCAGACCTTTGCCACGCTACAAAGTTCTATTCTTCCTGGGACATCCTTTACAATGGTGGTTCATGCCCTTACGGTGCCGGTGAAGGTGTTAGCACTGGTGTCGAAAATGGATTGTCGGGGAAACTGGTCAAAGGGCATGGTGAAGTGTATCCCAAAGGCCACGCAGGCGATCATTGTTTTTCGCGCAGCGTCCAAAATTGCCTTGGAGCCCGCCGAGGCATGCCGCGCTCTTGGACGTTTTCTTCTGCAGCAAGATGGCAACACAGTGGCAGGGGGTCTAGTGGAGAAGATGATGCTGTAAAGGACGTGGAAAGTCAAGGTGAAGGTCAGACAAGCCAACAAAACAAACTAAACACATACAAAGACGGAATTTAAACATGTTCTTTTTTTTTTTTGGGGGGGGGG